ACTCACTAAGCCCAAGCGGTCACATCATTTTACCCCTTTCTTACACCATTGAAGGCAATGTCGAGTTTAAGTGTTGGGGGGGGGGGGGGGTAGTTTACTAGTACACTTGTGTGACTGTGATTAATGCTTGGAGCCTTTTGTATGCCCAAATTTCAAAATTTTGAGGGGCTCCAAGCAATGTTTGCATGATCAAAGTGGCCGGATGGTGGGAAATTCTCGTGTTTATTGGCATTGATCTTGAATCATTGCATGTGATCGAGTATATCCTATGATGATGATTGAGAAGTTCATTAGGATAGGGCAAAAGTTTAGTTCTCAGGTGTGCATAAATGAATGGACTTCTTGACTTGATCACTTGTTGCTTACAATTGCCATGCATCGTGTTTGTGAATTGGAATAGATGGTTGGGTAACTAGGTAGCCTATGAGCTTTGAGCCGATCGTTTTCTTCCGGTGTGATAGTTCCCTCTTACCCCGGTGTGTAGCATCACAAGTTGTCACTAGTAAGTATGATGGAGGCGTAGTATTAGTCCACGCCCAAATGTTGATTGTTCCGAAATGTGTCATCCTTTAGTCAACCCCTTTGAGCCTTGTGACTTCGAGGGTCGTTCTCAATTTAGGAGATTCATGCGTGTGAGCTTAATGGTGTTAATAGAACGACCCCAACCCTTTCTTCGTGTCTAAACATGAGTCGTCCTTGTGTCCCGGAGCTCTCGCCTTTCAGTTTCCATAAAGGTTCTACATAGGAGGTTCGTGTGCGGTCCTTGCTAGGGATGAGAAAATTGAAGTGTAGTGTTGGAGTGAGTTCCTCAAAAAGAGAGCATTGGTCGTTAAATGTATAGGTGGCAAGTTTTTTTACTCTCTAGTACCCCCCTCGAAAAGGAAAGAAAAAGAAAGAAAAGAAAAGAGAAACGAAAAGAGGTAATAAAATGAGGTAAATAAAGTAGAGAGTGCCATGAAAAACCAAAGTACATGCTCTAGGAGGGGTTTCTTTGCACCCCAAGCCATCGAAACCCCCCACATTATTTTAGAACTCCTTCACTACCAAACCTTTATGTGCTAGCAAGAGTAGACCGAGGAAGAGTGCTTCAATGTAATTCACGATGGGTGATAGTTTGGAAAGGAGAGATAAGGATTTTAGCCGATGCTAGTGGCCTTGGGTTGAAAAGAGGGGTTTTAGTCGAAACCATAGAACCTTCGGTTCTAGGTTGAAGATGTAGAACCTCACACCATGATTGCCACCACCCAAAAAGCCTTTTTCCCATGTCCAAGATAATTGTCAGTCATCTGAACCCGTGTCTAAGACCTCCGGACGAGCTAGTGGTGACAACCATCCCGTGAACTCTAGCATCTAGAGGTTACCGCCGTGGTATTGAGACGATAGGGCCGAGAGTTTATGATTGTGCACATCTTTTGCACCAAAAAGGTCCCGACCCCACTGTCTTGAGAGTGAGTGATTCATTCTTGTTTTGCATGTCATATCATACCCCGGTGAGGACCTTTGTTGCTTTTCTATTTATTCCTCGGACTTGAATTCCATGATGGTCGGTTGTGGTTGATAACTAGTCTTGTTGCGACTTGCATTGATCCATGAACAAGGTGAGAACTTTTCGTTTGCCCTTTTTGGTGGCTTCGAATGTCGTTTGTGGTGGATGTTAGTATTGCTTGCAACGGTGCATGTATTGATTTCAAATAGCCATTGAGAATTCCCACTTTGTGCCCTTTGAGTTGTCCCCAAAGTAGTTGTGTAGGTTGAAATATTACCTTGTGTGAAATGGTTTGCTCGGGGACAAGCAAACGTCTAAGTGTGGGGAGTGATTCTGGCCTAATTGTACATGTTTTGCCCCCATTTTACTTAGGTGTTTGTGCCAAATTCACTCCTAAATGGATGGTTTTACGCTAGGTTTCTCATGTTTTAGTGTGTTTCAGGATTTAACAGGTGAAACCAGGCTCAAAGTCGAAAGTTGGGCGCAAAGGATCAAAAACCGGGAGGAGGTGAAAAAGGTCCAGTTCACGGCTACCCAAGGAAGTTCACGGTCTTGCATGACCGTGAAGAAGAGCCCTTGACCGTGAATCGCGAGGCGTCCAGAGCCAAAACGAAGGTTACTGATGCAAGGTGAGTTCACGGTCACTAAGACCGTGAACAAAGGCTGTTGACCGTGAACAGAAGAGATCGAAGGGTGCGTTTTGGTGCACGCCTGCAGTTCACGAACGCGTTTTGTGGTTCACGGCCGTGAACTCAGCTCGTCTCTGGTTTAAATGATGAGCTGAAAGGAGGAGAGACGAGAGAGCCCACTTTGTGTGAAAGGCCTTCTTCAGATTTCTAGAGAGAGAACCACGAACCAAGGAAGAAAAAGGCTAGGGTTTTGCTTCAAGGTGGATTTTGGGAAGATTTCCTCCAAGGAAAGCTCAACACAAGGGCCAAGGAGATTGGGAGCATCCTCCAAGATGGTTTCCTCTTCTTCTCTTTGTGTTTTTTCCCATCTCTAGCATGGAGTACATCTCCTTTCACTTGGGTGTTGTGAAACCCTAACTCTACCATGTAGTTTATTTTATGTGAATTGGATGATTGTCATTGGGTATTGTTTAATTTAATGATTGAGGTATTATTCAATGTTGATTGTGCATGCTTGTGCTTAGCAACCTAGTGGTTGTGCATGTTTTGTGCTTAGCATCCTTAGGTTTGTGAATTTTGGTGCTTAGCAACCTAGGGATGTGCATAATTGTGCTTAGCACCCTTAGGTTTGTGCATGTTGGTTCTATCAATCTAATTAGCCACCTTAACCTAGCTTAGAGAGGAAAATCCCCCTTCCAAGGGAGACTCAATCGAGTTGGTTTTCCTTCAGCTTTTTAAGCCACCTAACTAGGTTAATTTAGGGTAACCCTCAATGGGGAATTAAGCATCGGTTAATCGCGATCAAGCCGTCCGGCCTTTGATTTGAGTGATGGAGTAAGTCAACTATCGATTGCCTAAACCGAGAGGGTCGAGTGACACGTCCTTTGATATTTACCTCGGTTTAGCAGTTGAGATTGTGGTCTCCGGCCATGTATGCATCCCTCTACGACTCGCGATTACCATGCCCAAAACAATCGTTCTAATTCGTAGAGCATGGTAGTAGTTAGGAGGAAGCGATACCCGAGTGATCCTTCCACAAAAGAGTTTTCAAAACCCATTTACCTTTGTCCTATTTTAGTACAATTAGCAAACTTTTAAACCAAAACTTTGTTGCTAGATAATGATTTCAACAATTGAAGTAGGGGTAGACGGACCAACCCGAGTTGATATCTAAATACTTGCTCTATACTGCACCCGGCTAGAGTTTAAAAACTTGGACTCTAGTAGGGATTATTGTGGTGTAGTTTCGTGCGACTCAGTTATGCATATGGTTATTGACCACAACGTTATGCACTTGATCCCTTCCCCTACCAAGCCACATGTCTAGATGATAACACCTAAATCGGTGGTGTTTACCCTCCATATTTTGGTTTGTTTCATGCTAATTCGTGTGCATAATCGAAAGTATATCGTCAATAGCATCCCTATTATGTTATGTTGTCATTCTAGGGTGCTTTAGAGGATACATGTGAATTAGGTATGGAAAATGGCACAAATGGAGAGGAATTGTCAGGAATATGTATAAGCAAGGAAAGAAGCCAGAAATTACAATGACCGCAGCTAAAGGCCACAAGTTCTCGACCGAGAAGCGAGGTCGCAAAGTGTCCTCAGAGATTGCGGGACAACACCGAAGGATCCCGACCGCGAACTGGAGTGCTTGGACCGCGAACTGAATGGGTTCATCTAGTTTATTTTAATGCTTCATCTACATTAATTGTGGTTGGTTTTCGGTGACCAGAGCGTAGAGAGAGAGAGAGAGAGAGAGAGAGAGAGAGAGAGAGAGAGAGAGAGAGAGAGCGGGAACGAGAGCGTCAGAGCATTCATTTTAAAAAAGTTTAATGTTAAGAGCGTGAGCAGAGCGTCAATATTATATTATATTATATTAAATATTTCTAAACATATTTGAATAAAAGATACTACTTCCTTATCTTGAAATATAAAAAAAAATTACAAAAGAAAGTGCTAAGGATTTGGCAAGTGTCAATGTGTGTGTATGTCGTAGAAGGATATCTCTTGATCTTGGTAGTAGAAACTAGGGCTGGGCATACGGGCGGATCATCCGCGGGTTTGGGCCGACCCACCCGCATTTGACCCGAATTTCGTTAAGTGGGTGGGTCTATGGGTGGGTGACGGGTTGCGCTGGGAGCCATCCGCCGGGTGGTGGGTGGGTTGTGGGTGGGTGCGCGGGTGACCCGCTCAACCCAACAGCAAAAAGATCAAAGTCGTCGGCGCTAGAGAGGAGAGAGTGGAGACGTTAGACATAAACTAGGACTGCTCCTGGAGTTTGAACCTCAAAGCCAACCTTCCAAATAGCGATCCCCTCTTCTTCCCTTTATTTATTCCTCTAATTCTTGTGCCTAGATCACTGATCTTTCCTTTGTGGAATTATTTTTCTTAGTTCCTTGCACCTGATAATCATCTCAATCTGTAGAAAACTCTTTCATAATAGAATTTCTATCCATTTTAAGAACTAATTCGACATTTTTCGTCCTATTTCATCTTCTTGTTTCCCCAGATAACTCTCTTCGCCTATTATCATGTCAAGTTGACTCCTTTATATTATATACATTGTGATGTGGGTGAACCCACAAACCCACCCAAATCATCCACCATCCGCCCGACCCAACCCGAGACTAAATGTGGGTGGGTGGTGGGTTAAAAATTATCAATCCGTTTAAGCGCGGGTGGGTGCATTTTATGGTCAAAATCCACCCGACCCACCCAATGCCCACCCCTAGTAGAAACTAGAAAGTGTAGTGCAGGTGCAACAACTAATTTTCATTATGCTTTCGATTTTTACAAAATGCATGTATGGGCCTAGGATGCTCTAAGCCCACTGCTTGAGTAATTAGTAATTACCCCCAGAAGATACTGGCAGATAATCGGTTTTGGGAAGCCCTTTCTCTCTCCACCTTTACCTTTCTTTTCCCTCTTTGTAGAACATCCGGCCGAAAATCAGAAGCTCTAACCTGTCGCCGTTCCTCCTCTCGGCCGTCCTTCAATCCCCCCATCAAAGGCCAGACAAATGCATGACATAAGCTATACAGTTCTATGATTGTTTGAATCCATTATTGCATGATACAAGGTTTGGATATCATGTGTAACTTGCATTTTACATATAAATTTTAGGAGTACTTTTAAATCCAAGGTGGGTTATACCGAGACCGGCACTCACATAAGCTCCTTCCCCCACTTGGTTCTATGGTTGTCGAATTATGTTTTCTTGTTACCATCACATCTGGCAGGAATTATTTCATGATATAAGTTTTATAACTTTATCCTTTTTCGTAGGAAACTCGAAAAATAATTCTAATGACATGCAGAGTTGCGAAGATGGTGGAATGCCATTTGAATGGAAGACTTGAGCTTGTCGTGGTCTATGAACCCTTTTTCTGCTCCAACGGATACCCGCAGCTGTCCCATGTAGCTGATAACGCTGATGGAAAGATCCTGCAATGTACGTACGTAGCCGATAGATTTCTTAATTACCATTCAAGAATATATATATATATATAATATATATATATATATATATATATATATATATATATATATATATATATATATATATATATATATATATATAATATAGAGTATGCTTTCAAGAAGCGAGAAAAGGCGAAGGTACCTGTGGGCTTCCAGCAACCATAAAATACATGCCTTTAATGTGGTGATCAGCAATACTCATTTTTTCGAGAGGACCAACCAAGTTAGAAATACACAAAGTTGTGTTCTTTAATACCTTGTGCACGTAAGTAGCTGCAGCCTGCCCAGTCAATTGATTAAAATTAATTGATATCAAGCTAGAAAGTTACTATGTCGCATTTTAGAAACCAGGCTGGAGGCCTGGTTCGATTTTGGCAACCCTAATCGAAAGAATTAAAGAAAAAGAAGTGAGGAAATGCTCATGCAATATGATTTTATTAATATACATTGTACTTACCTCATGCCCTTTCATTTTCCGATAAAGTTCAAGGAGCTTGGCAGTGACAGGAATGGCGAGAGAAACCCGCTTCTTTTTAATGATAGCACCAGCCGCCCTCACAAATTCTAGAGCACACTGACGCATCCTCGACTGATCATTATTTTCATCTGAAATTGCAGTAAGCTTGGGGACGGTGACATGGACAAAGGCGAAATTGTTTCCCCACGGGGAGGTTGTCTTCAGTTTCCCCATTTCCTTAATCGAATTGTAGCTTCGGAGCATCCTCGTATTCATCAATACCAGTCCTGTAATTTCTGCATCCTCTGATCCTGGATCTTTTTCTTGCATATACAGTCGCGTCCCCAGGAATATGGTCCCTGTTATTACATCATTTACAGTCTGACCCACCAATATATAATTTGTTAATTAATCCATAGACAATGATGAATTCGCTTTATCAAAAAATAAATATATGTTCATTTGATTGTATTTTTGGAACATTTTTGCATGAATGAGAAAGTTTGGGATTATTTTTTCTTCGGATTCGATTTTGGAATGTAGGAGAGCCGCGCTAACGTCGGATAAGAGGAAAGAAACGGAAGGTAACGATACTTGGCTGCTCAAGTTAGAGTGCAACCTTGCATAACTAAATTTAACCTTTCTTTTTTACTCTTTTACTCGATCCACAAAATTCAAATCCAAAGGTTAAGAATTAAAGATATTGTTGATATGACTTGAATCGGATTATCAGTCGCTACGACTGGTAATCGGGGGTCTCGCCTACAGTGTATGGGCTCAATGTTATTTGGGTTCGGGTTCTGGGCCTGGTCTGTAACCGTTTCCTTTGTCAGATTGGATTAGGTTTAGACCCACATGGAGATTACTATAAATACTTCTCATACTCCTCTGTAATCTGTAATCTCCTCGATATAGTGAAACTGGCTCTCTCTCGCCCGTGGACGTAGCTAACACACATCGTGTTAGTGAACCACATAAATCGTGTGTCGTGTTTTCGGTTCTCGCTTTCGTATTCTTGCTTTGTCGATTCCGGCGATTTCCCGATCCGTAGCAGCGCGTTTATAACAGATATTTTATTTTTCCTAGTTTTCTTAACGTTTTTTGATCTTCTTCGTTATAACTTGGATTTCAATTTTATTTTTCACAGATAAAACGAGTTTTTTGTGCTCTACAAAATGATACCTATTTTCAATATTTTTTGTGCAATTTTATTTTATACCTCTCGTTACTAACTCCATACCATATGGTATCTCATTCTTTTTTAAGTTGATTTTGAAATTTTTTGCACAGAAGGAACGAGTTTAAAGTCGTAAATGATAGTTAGTATACTACTATTATGTACTCAACCATCCTACAGTCTCGGGTATTCATACCACCATGGTACGTTGTTCATACCATATGGTGTGCTCTTATTTTAATACTAATCAATACCACTATGGTATAGACTAATAAAAAAATGTCTCAATTTTTTTTAAATATATCAAAGTGGATATCATTTTGAAGATCACAATTGATCTGATTTATCTATGCAAAAAACAAAATTCCGACTTAAAACAAGAGAGAAACTATTAAAGATTAAAAGGAAAAATATTAAAGGCTTTCACGATAGAGAGAAATGCTGATGTGGTATTCAACGATAAAAAATTGTTGATGTGGCGGATTCTGTTGGGTTACTCATGGGTACTCAGTACTCACCATAGAGTTACTGATGTTATGGGATCCGCTCCCATAGTTGGCATAGTCGTAATAGGGAATGGATCATGTTCTTAACTCTTTGGTCAATAATCATGCATAATCCAATCCAATCCGCCACATCAGCGCACCTCCTCTCTCTTGGAAAACCTTCAATTTTTCTCCCTTAATTTTATTTTGCACAGTTAAATAAGTTTAATTGTGCTCTTCAAAATGATATCTGCTTTGATATATTTTTTGAACAAAAAAAATTGAGCAATTTTTTACCAGTATATACCATAGTGGTATTGATTGGTATTAAAAGGAGCATACCATATGGTATGAAAGATACACCGCCATACCAAGGTGGTATAGTATGGTATTTTTTGGTCCAATATTTTTTTCAACCGGAAAATTTTGGATCTAATAGATCATGAATAATTCGTTCCTTCTGTGCAAAAATTTTCAAAAACGACTTAAAAATCAAGGAGATACCATATGGTATGGAGTTGGTAACGAGTGGTATGAAATTTTTTTCTCAAAAAATATTGAAAATGGATCTCATTTTGTAGAGCACAACAAACTCGGTCCATATGTGCAGAAAAAATTGAAATTCAAGTTAGAATATAGAAGATATGATTCGATTAAAAAAAACTAGGAAAAATAAAAAGCCTTCTAATTCTCAAGCCTTAGATCAATAGCCCACTTAAAAAGAAGGATCCAGATTTGATTACCCATGTTAAGCATCCTAAAGTTATGCACCCTAATTTGAGTAGCAGTAACAAAACTAGTTTTGAATTCGAATGTCTCGAGTTTGAATTCTTTTAGTAGTATATAACTATAAAATCAAATTTTATTGCTTTTATTAAAAAAAAAGTAAGGAAGATGAACTATTTATATATTGATTTGGTATTCGTTTTACACAGTTTAAAGCCCATGGATATATAGGGGTGTATTTAGAGATGATAATCGAACTCATAACTATGTGTACCTGAGCTCTCCCATATTAGTCAATAAGAAATCCTTGCATTTACAGGATAAGGGTGAATATGGGTAAATCCCACAAAAGGTTTGATAAAAATGCGACAGGTATGATATTAGGCTCCACCGCCAATACCCTTCCAACCAAGAGCATTTTTTTCTTATGTAGAAAATATAAGGATCATAATTAATCTCTCAACTATAGGAAGAGTAATTCAAAAAGATAAAAAAAAATATAATTTAAATGTAATTGAGTGACTATTCAAAGCAAACATTAATTTTTTCTCTTTCCATTCACCCTTCACCCTCCACCCCTTCTTTCCCCTTGATATCTAGATTATGTTAGTTATTTATTGCTTAACACATATGTTGGAGATGGACGATTTAAGTAGTATTGGAATTTTTCTTTTCTTATGAATTAATGAATATTTTAGGACTTGATTTTTTTTTATGTCTTAAGGACTGGATGTTCTGAATTCATATTAAGAATTATTGCAGATTTGTTGACTTCATGATTTATTAGGTATGTTCAGTATTATAACTGAAGATCTACGGGTTAAATTCTGGGTATAGTAATATTGGATATACGGGATGTCTATTCCCACGAGTAGGGATGTCCATTTGGTTTTAACCGAAACCAAACCAATTGGAAAGCTAATGGTTTCAGTTTTTCGATTTAAACCAATAAGCAACTTAATGGTTTTGGTTTGGTTAAAACCGAAAAACCAATAGAGACCATTAAGAAACCAATAAGAATAAAATTATTTGTCAACAAATATTTTTTTTTTCTTTTGACACGCATGTCAACCAATAATTTGTAATGGTCATTTACCATTATTATGACGTTTATTCAATAAAAAGGAGGGAAATGGGCATAAATATGAGTACATGTTGGTTTTTTGGTTATGCAAACCAAAACCAAAACCATTAAGGCCTTTATTGGTTTTTGGCAACCGAAAACCAATAAGGGCCTTAATGGTTTTGATTTTTGGTTTTTCATACTTAATGGTTTGGTTAACCAAGTCAAACCAAATTGACAGCCCTACCCACGAGTATTGGGATGGGAAATACTCTCCCTCATGGATATGGGGCAGGTATGGATTTGGATATCTGAAAATGAGGACGAGGATGAGGATGAGTTAGGAAAATCTTCCCCATTGCCACCCCTAGGTGTAGCATAATTCTTCTAAATTTTGCAAATTTTTTTGTCCATCCTTGAATAGTAGTTGTAACACCTTAGGCGAATCACTTTTCGACAAAGCACGGGAGAGTTCCGTAATTAATAAGTAACAAACCAACTTTAATTGGCTAGACACATATTGTGGTGAAATGGAATCACTACAAAAAAAAAAAGCTTTTTGCGACGAAATTAATGGCGACGAATGTTGTTCGTCACTAAAGATATGTTTTTTTGCGACGAAATGTGCATCTTCGTCGCCAATTGTGCAACTCGAAAAAAGAAAATATAAAGAGGTTTTTGCGACGAGAATTTAGATTTTAGGCGACAAATTAGGGTGTCGCAAAATGTTTGGAGAGCATCTGCGACGAAGCTTTCGTTGCGACAATGTCAATTGTTTCTAGCGCCGAAAAGTTCCGCCACGATGATATTAACTATTTTCCACAACGAATTTAATGCGCGCTCAGTGTGTCCCTAAAATTGAAATTAAGATTAAAAATATTTATAATTTTTTATATAATCTTTTATAAAGTACGATGTTGTTTCCCAATCTTCTTATCTCAATAGACATGAGACTCTCTCTCTTTCCTCCATATCTTTCCAAGTTCCAACCCTAGCCGCTATTTCCTAACTTCATCCATTCTCTTCAACTTCCTGACCTCTGAAATCGTATCCACATCTTGGGAGAGTGTGAATAAACCTCAATCTCCGCCTCCTTCGCTTCCTCTCGCAGCTTGAGCTCGGAGATGAAGGACTTTGGTTGTCGCTTTGAATAATTGAATCAGTTAAATCGGGAGTTGGTCCACGGTTGCTTATATGGTGGCTTATTCAGTACACTAAAAAAAGGGAGTACATTCAATGCACTAAACTCTAAGAGTAGCCTTACGACATCAAATTATCCTAAACCCTAAACTTTCAATTTTGAATAGTAATTCTAAAACCCAAATTATATAGCCTAAAGGCTAGTCCTAAATCTATGAACTCTACCTTAAATCAAAGTAAATATTGAATTTTTTGCGAAAATACATATACGCTTGCGCATACGCTAGTGTAAACCATATATATGGAGCCTTCTATCTTACCTAGGATAAATCTAGGCTGCCGCATATCCTTAGTAAGAAAACAATATCTAAACCTCGAATTACCCGATTTGGGGCATGATCCTATACCATAACCCTTGATGGGTGAACTCTAGATCTTAATTATCTAAATCCTCGACCCTAAGCACATCGTGACTATTGATTATTGTTTCTAATTAATTTGATCTTGGGGTTATGGGGTATGAGATTTATAGAACTAAGACCTATATTTTAATATTTAAGGGTTACTATTTAGTACCATGTCCCAAACTCTGGTTAGTTCATGAGCTAGATAGCAATTTCTCACTCAGGTTATGCTATACTTATGAATTTACTCAAAATATGATAGAACAATATATGTACATATATAGGGTAATTTGCAAGGTTGCTCACTCGAATTACTAAAAAGTTTCACGTTTGGTAAGTAAAAATATTTAATTTCATTCGTGGTCAGTAAAATTAATTAAATATCCAAGTTTAGTCACTCTCCGTCAAACTCATTTAACCTTTACTGATGTGGTAATCAACTCTCATATTTGACTATCAACTGTGTGTGAGGCAATTAAAAAATATTAAAAAAATATATTTTAAATTTTTAAATTTTCCACATATTTTCCGGCTGTTAAAAATAAACGTAAAGAAGACCCATGGCTGCTGAGCGGTGACAAAGTATACCATGCAGATTATGGGTTGAACCGAACACCGAGGTTGAAGCACGACAACGATGGAAGCTTGACGATTTACAACTTCGATATGGATGAGAACTACTTGGCAGGCTATCCTAGAGCCTTGCAGAGTGAGGAAAAAATCCAAAAATACCACTGTTTTTAAAAAATTACAAAACTACCATCCAAACCGAAATTTTCTCAAATCTACCGCCCTTAATTAAAATCCGCACCACGCAGGGGCGGTTACAGTGAAAACTACACTGCAAGGAAGCGGTTTACAATCAAACCGCATTGCAATGGAGCGGTTAGAGGTTTTTGGGAAAATCGCTCGTCGAAGGAGCGATTCCCATGGTTGCCCTAACACAAATCGCATGCTCTGGGTGTGGTTATGCGTCGGCAACATAAACCGCCCCTCATGCAAGCGGTTTATTAGGTCGATGCACAAACCGCATCCCCAGCGGTTTGTGCCTCATCCCCATTCCCCCGACATCCGACATGTTGACATGCAGGAGGTTGCAGGGGGTGGGGACTGCATGCCAAACTAAAACCGCCCCCTGCGGTTTTCAGTGTAAAATTTGCCGGTAAAAGGAAGCCCCGAAAAATGCTCGTTGCTGGTTGTCCATCACCGTCAAGAGTAGCCGACCCGTCTCTCCCGTCAAGAGAAGCAAAGCATGACCAAAGCGCGCGCGCCCCATCTGCGTCTTTCTTCCATCGCCACCACCCCTCCAGGCCCCAGCAAACGACACTGAATTCGCGCTCCCTTAAATTCGGCAAACATCGATAACCGTTCGGTCGGTTTTGCGGTTAACCGAATACACCCGTCAGTCGGTGTTTGGCAGTCGATTAAGTGACGCTCGGCTATCCGAAAACCGATCCTTCGGTTATTGGTTAAACCGAACCCGACTGATATCCATCCCTGTAATTTTTTGTACCACCTTGATACCACTCTGTATCACCTTACTTTTTTAACTCAAAATTTGAAATTTTTTGCACCAATTGAATGGTTCGTCCATTTTGCATAAAAGTTGTTCCTTCACCACATGGAGGTCTCAAATTCGAATCCCTTCAATAGCATCCTTATATAAATAATGGTAAAATGAGAGTAGTATATTGCTATTATCATGTATACGATAATTTTACACCAATATATATCCATACCACCATGGTATAAATTGGTAATATATGACATGATTTTTTTGTTAAAATTTATATCAAAATGAATGTCATTTTGAATAATACAATTATTCTAGAAAAAAATATTTGAATTATGAATTAATATGAAAAAAATATAGAACGTTAAAGTTAATTGTGGAAAAGTTGTATTCGCTCCTGAACGGTTGGTCTTACATATGAGTATGAAAAGATGAAATACGGATCGGATTGCTTCCATCACTGATAAATTATTAGATACTTTCTCTTTACTCCCTCTCTAATATAATAATATCTTCATTTTCTCTCATTTTTTTTAACCAAAGATGATGCTGAGAGGTAACCCGACTCAAGATCAATTTTTTACTCTGGCAACGACACCCACTCATCTACCTGCTGATGATATTGGTGCATCAGTTGGGAAACTAAGAATTGCTTGCCCTCCAAAGCTGCCCAATTTCTTGATTTCGAGGAGCGCTACCAAAGCCATGACTTGATCTGGCTGAGTCAACCTAAGCAAACATCGGTTAAGGAACAAGGGGAAAGTGTGGCGAGGAAGATCCTGGCCCAAATGCTCCAACCCTGAATGCGCCCAGAGAGCTGCAGCGACTGGACACTCCCAAAACAGGTGCTCCATGTTTTAGACTCTGCCCAACACACCGGACAGCGAGGCAAAATCTGAACCCTCTTTTTGATCAAGGCTTCCGTGGTAGGCAAAATACTGTGAAAAATTTGCCAGAGGAAAAGTTTAAGTTTAGGTGGGATCTTAAGGGCCCCCATTTTCATCCAACTTGCTTTATCCATCCAGCTTACTCGGGGGCGTCACACCCCTACCTGCTTATCCACCAGCACCGCTAGGTGATAGGCGGATTTGACAATAAACACACCATCACACGTATCATGCCATACCAATTTATCCTCGATACTCATACGACTAGGCAAGGGAATTGCTAAAATCTCCCGACTGACTTCAGGAGGAAACATCTGCTGAAGTGAATGGTGACACCAACCCCCCTCATAGGATCAATTAACTCTGCAACTTTTGGATCAGAGTCCTCCGGCATTACTTGAGGCTTACACATAAGAGGGTGAGGGTGGAACGCTGGAACCCAGCTAGAGTTCTTAATAGAGACTTGTACTCCATTCCCCACTTGCCATCGAAGTCCTCGTTGAAGGAGGATACGGCCATCGAGAATACTCTGCCACCCCACGATGGGCGGGATCGGGCAGTTGCACTTGCCATGGAGAATATATTATGTGATTATCATCATTATTATCTTTCTCTCTCCTTGTTTTGTAATAGGAAAAATATTATTATAATAGAAAGGGAGTATACACCCCGGAGTACTTAATAATTCTTACATAACCACTTACCCTTCTCCCACCATCTCCTTCTCCAAATTCCTTTCATAACATAGATAAAGGAGCAAGTGCAACCGCAAATAGGGGAGTAGGGTTGGAAAAATATATTAGACCATTTGAAAAATCATAGACCAAAACAGATCACACAGTTTCGTCCGAATCGTAGACTGCTAAGAATAATCTGGTTTAGTATGTGGTATGTGTTATAGAATGTATTGATTTCTTGGTCTGGCCGCAGTTTATCGGACTAAACTGTTGGACCTAGCTCATTTCGCAATGCGTGTCAGCAGCTCAGTCAACCATTCTCTCAACTCTCTGACGGAACCACAAGTGTACCAACCCTAATTTGTGAATCTCTTCCCCCTCCTTCATTCATAAACCACACTCCTCCACAAAGTAGAGACCATTGTATTTTCATATGACATTATATTAATGTTTATGACATTATGATGCAAGTCGGGTTGCTTAAACTTTTAATTTTTTGTTATAATTTATATGGATTTAAGGTATCAAAATTATGCATGATCTACATGGTCCAGACCTTATAAAAATAAACGTACCAACTTGGTATGATTTAGACCGTGTAGTTTTGATTTGGTCGTGGTCTATGCTCAAACTTCTCAATCCAGATTCCAGACCATAGACGGTATGTATGGTCCAGACTCCAGACTAAAGTACCAGCGTTTCCCAACCTACAGGGCATGACACCCCTCAGCCTCAAAAGCCCTACAACGTCTTTCTCTCCATGCAAATTAACATCATTGCCCATTAAATAAATTCCGATTGCAACACAGCCAAACCAATTTTGTTAGGGTATCCCTACTTGGGGTGTGTGTGTTCATTTTGGTTTCTTTATCCAATATCTTTGTAAATTTTAGAATTAACCTTCCTAATTCAACAATTATATATATTTGCTTTATTGATAATAAAAGAAATGAAATTCGCTTTTAACCAATTTATTACGTACCACTCCCAGATGATCCTTCATCGCCTTGACGTCATCAAGAGAGAACGTCAATGTTACCACAGAGATGGGGCGGGAACCGACAGCCGGATCTCCAGACCGTAAAGGCGACAGATCATCCTCCGAAAAATTGGTCTTCGAGAAGCTGAACCACAGATCCGATGCCGTATTGATGACCGACGTCAGAGCTCTGGACAAGAAAGCAGCGCGGCCATCTGCTGCCGAGGATCGCCGGATTCGGTTCTTTGGGAAGGTCAAGGGCAGAGAAGGGTCGTCGGAGCGCATGAAGCAAGAGAGCAGCGCGGCCATCAGCGAGTATCCGTCTCCGATGACATGGTGAATCTTGAAGATCACGTTCCCCGCCGCGTTCACGGTGGGGTACTTCACGAGATGGACCTCCCACAGCGGCCGCGTCTCCGGGAGCTTTTCCCCGGAGATTTCGTGCAAGTAATCTTGAAAACACCGATCGTAGAATTCCGGCGACTTCCCTTCCGGGAAAACCGGAGTCTTGATGTGGTCCTGCAAGTTCACTTGCACCTTTACCCATCTTTTTTCCCCGTCGTCTCCTGTCACCTGCTCGTAAAAGTTGGGATGGATTGGTTCAACTGAAAATATGCATGAGAAAGAATTTGAGTGTCGAGAATTGTTGGCGTAATATACTTACGATGATGGAGGAAAAGCGAGGGTGGAGGGGAAGCAAGAGGGTGTCTAGCAGATGAACAAGTTGGTGATCAGGGAAATGGATGGGTTCTTCGGTTTCCATAACGCCGAGGATAACAAGTGAAATGGCGGAGCTGTTGAAGTAAAGACCATTTGGACTCACCGGAGCAAGCAGCTGCTGCTCTGCGGAGCACCCATCTTCTTTCAAGAATTGCATTTGTTGCTAATTTGACTGCCTTTCTTTCTCTCTTTCTGAATGTTAGGCAAGTTAGAATGTTTAGGTTGGGTGTATTTATAAGGAATTGATAAATGTGGTCTTGAAAGTTAATAAAAATTGTTGTAAGAAATACCAAACTTATACTTTTAACTTCTTTTTTTCGTGTTAATATATTTGTATGGTCCAAATTCTTATATGTTACAAACATTGCCAATCTTTTTGGTATTAAACATTGTGGTCCGAACTAGCCCTGCACTTAACTAATTTGGCCAAACCCGAGAGTTGAACGTCAATTTTGACGGTCAATGTCGTTGACTAAAGGTCAACATGTCATGTCATTGCCCAATCAGCATAAATAATCTTTAAAAATTCCTAAATGTCACATAATTCATAAAATTATTATAATCAAATTAAAAAAAATAAAACAAAATTGAGAAACATAATCTCCCAATCCATTCGCCTCGAGATCCTTCCGCCAGAACGCCAGAACCGCTGCAACTTAGGACACCTGCTTTGAGATCACAATACCTCACTGCAATATTCGCCATTGCCTCGTCTACTCCCGCCATAACGCCTTTCCCTCATGGTAGTATATATTCAAAACCACAATCTTCTTCGCCTTCTGTCTCCTTTGAATCATCGTCGCAGGCAGATTTCTCAATTTTTACTAAACAAACAAACACCACTTTGACTAAAGAAAGAAAAAAAAAATACTTACTCTTCCTCACTCTCGTCGACATTTTGGAGCCACAATCACCGGGGTACATCCGAAACATGAGTAGCGCTTTGACGGGAAAAATGTCTGTAAAAAAAAAGGCCAAGAAATCCCAAAAGGAAACAAAATTTAGTTTGCGCCATGGGGCAAACGAAATTCGGCTTTCTTGGGGCAAACGCAAAAATTGGCTTCTTTTGGAGAATTTTTGTTAATATCAATATTTTTTTCTATGTTTTTTCTTTAATTTATGGTCCGTGCCATAAGATAATTTGTTAGTTTTTTACTTATAAAATTTAAAAATAATTTATTTGTGTATTTATTTATGGAATAGAAGGATTTGCACACGAAATTATGATTAGATGTAGGATGTAAAATGGAACTTGCGTGTGAAGTTAGGATGATTCTTACATTATTTGATAAAATATTAGGAGAATGTTGAGATTAGATGTAGTTTTATTTAATTAATTTTGGATAGAATGATATTGTAGTTGTGTAGGTCGGTGTAAAATGGGACACTCGTGATCGCAGGATGGGTGCGGTTTTGGAGGAAGTGTTAAATCTTTTTGCCAGCAACCCAGGGTTTAGTGTTCGGTTTATAGGTCGGTGTAACAATAGGGTAGCCCACTTGGTGGCTAGGAAAGCCCTCTCCTTGTACCCGACCATGAGTCGTGCTTTTGATTATCAGGCCTGGCTGTTCTCCAGGATGTAACTATCTTTTTTGGAATCAATATAAGATTATCTTTTGTTAAAAAAAAAAAAAAAAAAAAAAAAAGATATTGTAGTTGTGTAGTATTACTTATATTATTGGATAAACTATTGTATGATATTAGATAAAATTCATCTGTGTAGCCAAAATTTTCACGTTTGTGACAATAATAGCCACTTTTGAGGAAATACCAAATGTAGGCAGAATTTTGAAAGTTTTATGACAAATATAGCCATTTTTGTTACATTTTTTAACGGCGTCAATGTCACCGTTAGTCAAATTAACGGAATGCTTACCTGGTTGCCAACTCACCGGACACGTCATCGATAACTCAACAACACTTGTCGCATGTATGTCATGTCATATTTTAATTTAAAACTAAAAATAAAATCATAAATTATTTTTCTCATCCTCTCTCCTCTCCCACCACTCGATGTTGTCGTCCTTTCTCCTCTTACACCATCGTCGTCTTCTGCAACTGGCCGCCGACAATGTGAAATCGAAGATCGATTTAGCAGGCAAAATCAGAGGAACGATCACGAATGGCACCGCCGCCGCTGAGCAAACAATGGTGAGCGATTGGAAGCCTTCTATTGTTCTTGGCGGCGTCGGGTGTAGCTCGGGATCGATGTCAGATTCACCAACGAAACTACACCTCTCTGACGGAAGGGGTGGCTGCGGTGAGGGAGCTCGAATCGGCGATTCCAAAGAGAGAGAGCGCGAAGGAAGATGGCGGCCAGATCCATCCCTATTATGTTTTGTTATTATTTTTTTTTTTTTTTGGTCAGCTAATTCCCACGTGACTTGGTGAGGGAATTAGGGTTTAGTTTCCACAAACTATATAAAGGCCAAAGCTAGGGCTCGGCCATAGTAACTCTCTTTCCTCTCTTGTTGATCGCCGAACATCATAATAAAAACTCAGCCGAGAGCAGTAGCTCTCCGTGGACTAGTCTCACTCATCATCGAGTGGGGAAACCACGTAAATCCTTGCCTTGTCTCTTTCAATTCCGCAACATCGATTTCTTCATGGTATCAGAGCTGATCTCCTTCCAGGGATAGCTTATTCGTTCGTTTTTCGTTTTATTTCACTTCTCAAAGACTAGGGCAATCTCAATCAAGCCCTCGGCATGTCCATCGGCAGCGAGACTCAAGACCTGGTCACTGGTGGGTCGAGCAACGCCTTGCTCATAGATGCCTCGTCTCCGCTTCATCTTCATCCAGCCGATCACCCAAACCTGATGTTCGTGAGCGAAGTCCTCACCGACGCGAACTACGCGGAATGGGTGGCTGAGATGTCCAATTCCTTGATCGCAAAGAACAAGCTAGGGTTTGTGACAGGCGGGACTCCTCGTCCGACAGCAGGTCCGCAGCTTGAGGCCTGGGTGCGCTGCAATGCAGCTGTTGTTGGCTGGTTACGTACGGGCATGAGTCGCGAGATCAGAAGCGGCATCAGCTCCGGGCTCACAGCACAACAAATATGGGAAGAACTGAAAGAACGATTTAGCACAGGCAATCTGCCGAGACGCTACAAGCTGCGTCGCGAAATCACTAGCTTGCGGCAAGAAAGGTCTAGCGTCACTACCTTTTATTCCAAATTGAAGAAGCTGTGGGATGATTGGCTCACTCTCGATCCTCCTGCCAAATGCACCTGCGGGAAGTGTGAGTGTGACGTCGAGAAGCGCACCCGAGCCTCCCATGAGGACATGCGCCTCCTGGATTTCTTGCTGGGACTTGATGACAATTTCTCGGTGGTGCGCACCCAGCTTCTCTCATTTAAGCCAACGCCTACTCTGGGTGAGGCTTATCATATGGTGGCCAACGACGAGCAACAGCGCCACCTCTCCTCTGAAAATCGTCCATCCCTTGAAGCCGCTGCTTTCCAAAGCAAAGGCGATCGCAGCGATCGCAACCCAGCTGAGCCACGCACACCTGAAGGCCGTCCATGGTGCACACACTGCGAGAAGCCCGGTCATTTCAAAGCTACTTGCTACGAAATCATCGGCTGGCCACAGCGCTCCAACAATGGTGGTGCCTCTGGTGGATGAGCTGGTACGTCGGGAGAGAAGCCTCGGCGTATGGGTTTTTCTATTGAAATACAAGTGAGAGGTTGCTCGCCACTTGCTTATGTTCTTTCGTCAGGTTCGCACTCAGTATGGGAAGAATATTCAGCGTATTCAGGCTGATAATGGACGGGAATTCACCACTCCACCCTTACGTGAGTACTACAAACAAGAGGGCACTGTTCTCCAAACCCCTTGTACGGACACTCCGCAACAAAATGGCGTCGTTGAAAGGAAGCATCGCCATCTCCTTGATACTGCTCGGGCCTTGCGCTTCCACGCTGGCCTTCCTATTCGGTTTTGGGGCGAGTGCGTTCTCACCGCGGCATATCTAATCAACAGGTTGCCGCTTGAACCTCTTCAACATCGCACACCCTACCAGGTCCTTCTTGGTGTTGTTCCTCGATATGATCACCTACGAAGTTTGGGCTGTCTTGTTTATGCTCGAGATAACCACAAGGGGCTTCACAAATTTGCTCCTCGTGGTCGCCCAGGAGTCTTTCTCGGCTACCCCTCCTCTCAACGAGGCTACCGCGTGTATGACCTTGAGAAGCGGCAGCTTTATACTTCTCGGGACGTTACTTTCGTCGAGCATGTCTTCCCCTTCAAGGTTGATCAACCTTCTTGTTCGGAACCTCCCGTGGATGCCTCTCCACCTGACTCGCTCGATCCGGAGCGTTTCCTCACTGCTGCGGATGATCCACTTCCCATGCCAATCCTCTGGATACTCAGCCCGCATCACCGGCTCTCATCTCCTCTCAGCCCGCTGACGCCTCTACTGTCTCGGACGAGGCTGATTCCTCTCCGCCAGCTCCCCACGCCGAGGTCCCTGCCCCTGCGTTGCGCCGTGGTGATCGGGTCCGCCGACCCCCGCCTCATCTTGCCTCTTACGATGTTCAGCTCCCCGGTGCCTCCTCGGCTCATCATGTCACCTATCCTATGGCCAACTATGTCTCCTACCATCGCCTATCACCTTCCCATCGGGCCTATCTAGCTCGTGTTTCTGCTGCCACGGAACCCAAGTATTTTTACCAGGGGGTTCGGTTTGCTCATTGGCGCCTTGCCATGCAAGCCGAGGTCTCGG